AACTCCCCAATTGGCCCTGCTCTGAGCCTGACCAGGGGCTGCACCTAGGGATTGGGCCTGCCCTCTGCCACCCGGGAGCAAGCCTAAGCCAGCAGGTCGTTATCTCCCAAGGGGTCCCAGACTGCGAGAGGGCACAGGCCGGGCTGAGGGACGCCCCCTCCTCCCCCCCGAGTACACAAATTTTTGTGCACCGGGCCTCTAGTAGATATATAAGTTGTTACACAGATACATAGATAAATACATAGATGTAAACATGGATATAGAGATAGTTACAAAGATACTTAGTTATATAAACCCATACTGGGGTACATACATAGATATGCAGTCTGTCAGATACATAATTATATACATAAGGAAAGTTGAATAGATATTTAGATAGATAGATACACAGATCTATACTAATAAAAGGGTAATATGTTAAATAGACCTGGTTGACCAGACATCTTCCGGAAGTCCATCCTTCTGGACAATTAGCGGTCGACCAGACCAGCAGAGTGGCAATTCGGGGCAACCTAGCCATTAGGGGACCAGTTAGGTGGCGATCAAGCCAGCAAGCAGAGGTACTTAGGGGCGATCAGGCAGGAAGGCAGAGTGGTTAGGGGCGATCAGACAGGCAGGCATGGGAGTGGTTAGGAGCCAGCAGTCTCGGATTATGAGAGGGATATCCGACTGCCGGTCGGATATGGGGCCTAAACCAGCACTTGGATATCCCCCAAGGGGTCCCAGATTGGAGATGGTGCAGGTGGGCTGAGGGATCCCCCAGCCATGCATGAATTTTGTGCACCAGGCCTCTAGTAGTTATATAAATATACACATATTTAGATACCTAGTTACATATATAGATAGATACATAGATGATTAGATAAATAGTTACATAGATAGATATATGGATACAATGATACAAGTGTGTTCTCTCCCCTCTCTGTTTGTCCTGCTGTGACTCAGACATCCCATGGGTGGAGGGAGGACAGGGCCAGGGGTGGCCCCCGTTGTCCAGGCCTGGGGGTGTCCACCTAGTTGATCCTGCACTCAGTTTTAACGGACAGTCCTCACAGGTTGTCTGTCCCCAAACCACACATTTCCTTATGCAAATGATTCAGGTTTTCAGGGCAAATGGGAAACCATAGAACTCTCCTGACACTTCCATGTTACTCCTGGGAGAGCACAGAGCTGAGGGGGACATGGGAAGGACTCAGCCTGCCCCCTCATGCTCTGCAGGGCAGGCGGCACCCGGCTCAGGCTCGATGCCCATGTCTCTGTCCCTCCCTGTCCTGTGAACCTGGGCTGCCACCCACACACTCCCCTGCCTCCCAGCTGCCTCTGGTTATTTCTAAACTGAAAGCCCTACGTCCACAGGAGCAGAGGCACTAAAGAAGCCGTTCTCAACCTGTAGTTCGTGACACCTTTGGGGGTCCAACCACCCTTTCACAGGGGT